AGAGAGAGAGAGATGTAATAAATTTGAAATGGATGGAGATGTGGGTATAATGATGTGTAGGAGTAATCCTAGTACTTAGGATAGAGGGAGGTCAGGAGCTGGTCATCTTTGGCTACATAGCACATTGAAGTCCACCCTGAGCTACAAGAGACCCCTTCCTACACCCTTCCTCACCACTGGCTTTCCACACACAGAAAAAAAAAGGGCAGCAGGTTATGATAGCTCATGCATGTAATCCCAGAACTCTTCTGGGAGGCTGAGGCAAGAGATCTGCTTTAAGTTTGAGGCCAGCCTGTGCTACATTACAAGACCTTTTATTTTTATTTAAAAGTAAAGATAAGCCACCAGTAAACATGCTTTGCACAATATTCACTTGTAATCTTGTCCATAAAGAATTCTTACAATTCAAAAATAAGGCAAATAATTTAACTTTAAAAAAAAATGGGAAACATGTTAGCAGTTACTTCACCAAAGATGATATACCCATGGCTATTAAGTATGCAAAAAGATTCTCAACATTATTATTCATAAAAGACATATAAACTGAAAAGATAAGGTACTACCATGCATGTAGTGTCTGGATTAGGCCACAAGGACTTCTGGTGACATTTAACAAGGACATGGAGCAGGTGGTGCTCTCCAACCTCAATGTGGGATGTTGATGTCCCACTTTTCTCACAACCAGTGATTCCACTCAGAGGTAGTTACCCATGAGAATTGAAAATGTACACAAATATTCACAACTACTTCTTTGATAGACTTAATCGAAAAAGATTGGTTATTCGGCTTCATTGAGGTATTATTGACAAGTGGAAATTGTACATCTTATGTCAAGCAGGTCTATGGTTCTTGACTGAACCTACTGATGATAGCCACAACAATGGAAACAGTGCATGTAGATTTAAAAAAAAATGATGACACAACCACACAGCGACAGAAACAATACAACAAAGATGCTACCAGTATGCAGTGCATGGGTGACTCCCAAAACTGACACTAAGTGATGGGGAGCAGCATTGTATATCTAGGATTCCATGTGTGTGATGTTCTAAAAGAGGCAAGACACCAGGGACAGAGAGCAGATAGTGATGCACAGGGGTGACAGAAGGAAGGGATTACCCACAGGGACCATAAGGGAACTTTGAGGATCGTAGGTATGTATTGGAGTTGATGATGGCTATATAATTTTCTATTTTAAAAAAAATCCATTGATAACACACTATAAGTGAATTGTATATGTATAGAATAACACATAATACTAGTTTAAATATCTTCATTCACAATAGTGAACTACCACAGATAAGAGTATTGGCTGTTCTTCTAGAGGATCTAGGTTCGATTCTTAACACTCACATGGTACCTCACAACTATCTATAACTCCAGTCACAGGGAATATGACACCATTTGCCTCCATGGTCACTACATATATGTGGTGCACAGACGTACATGCAGGCAAAACAGCCATGAACATAAATAAAAATAAAATGAAGGGTAAAAAAAAAGAACAGTGAGATGGACATAGTAATACATATCTGTCATTTTAGTACTTGAGAGGCTAAGGTAAGAATAGTGAGATCTAGGCCAGCCTGAGCTACATAGCAAGACTATCTGAAACACACACAGAGAGAGAGAGAGAGAGAGAGAGAGAGAGAGAGAGAGAGAGAGAGAGAGAGAGAGAGACTTATAAAGTTAAAATAGTAACTCAAAAATGCTTTTCTTTTTTTCCCCCATCCCAACCAGGCAACATTTCATACTCCGTTCAGCCACCTTGGCCACAGCCCAGAAGGATGCTCCTCCTACACTTTCCCAAAGATAATGGGATCAGCAAAGGTAACTTAGAAAAAACTTAAACTGTAGTGTTTCTGTCATCTTTGTTGCCAAAGCAATCCTGTACTCTGTCTTCTTTCCCTTGGGCAAAGCTTGCAGGGTGACTATTTGCTCAGCAACATGGAGGAACCCGGGTAAGGGGGGATCTGATGTAAGGCAGGGGTCAGGATATTTTCTCTGCAGTTCCTAATGCAGGGACAGAGTCTGACACCTGGTGGCCTAGAGCTGGAGCACTGGTGGCTGCACAAGACCTTGTCCTCCACAGCCGTGTGACATTCCATGAAGGCCCAAGACTAGGAAGCCTTTACAGATGCGATCGGCTCAGAGCCACCTAACTGTGTGAATGAGCAGCATCCCCTGAGATGACATGGTGACATCCTCTCTTTGGGGCCATGTGAAGTGGCAGAAGTTGCCGGCTCTTGGCAGCCCCATGAAGTCATAGTCCCCGTGACTCCCAGTCAGAGCTGTCTTCTGCCAGTTGTTCTGCCGTGTGCTGAGACTCCCAAGGTGGCCCGCGGGCTGCTCAGGGTTAGCTCTGTGTTTGTGTGAACCCAGTTGTCTGTCCTTCAAGGAGTGGCTCCAAGGACACTGAGACAAGACTGGAGACGGGGGACTGAGGAAGGGCTTAGCAGGCATTGGTTGCCCTCTCCAAGTGTATGGGGGGAGATACTGCCTTGCTGACTATTAGACTTTTTTTGTAATTGCCCCCCATGTGCACACATGTACAATGTATATCCATACATTACATTTTTAAGATTTATTTCTAATGTCATGTCTATGAGTGCTTTGCCTATGTATATGCCTGTGCACTGCTTCATGCATGGCCCACAGAGGCTAGAAGACAATATTGGATCTCCTGGAACTAGAATTCGGTATGGTGTGAGCCACCATATGGGTTCTGGGAGTCTAACCCGGATCCTTTTCAAGAGCAGCCACTGCTGTTAACGGCTGAGCTATGTCTCCAGCACTGACATACACTTCCTGAACCTCATCACGCTGTCATTACAGAGCCCAACTTATTAATCAGTTAAGCTCTGAAAAGTTGAGCAGAAGCCGCTCTTCAGACTGTGATTGTTTAGAATGTATTTACTTTTCTAAAAGAGAAATTGCAAGGGTAGAGCAAACATTTGCTCATTACCCTCAGTTTTTATAGAAATGCAATATAAGTCCTTCCTGTGTCCCTTCAGTCACATGAAAGTAACTTGAGTATCTGTGCAGAAAAGGAAGACACTCAGAGCTCATCCCTAGGGCAACCAGACAGACAAGGAAATTTTGAATGTTTCAAAAGGTTGACCCTATGGCCATAGTTTTTCGATGCCCCCCTCCCACCTTGTTATCATTTACATACAAACAGGAAACCACAGTTACCAGGGGTTCAAGTCATTTCTACCCTGGGATTCCCATTCTTGCCTCTCCAAGGCAGACCCTCACAATAGCAGCTGGCCTTCCAGCCCCTCATAAGACAGAACCGGTTATGGCCTCAGCTGTTTGAACGCCCTCGCCCAGCAAGGCCATCAGCTTCCCTGGTCTGTGAGAGACAGGCGACCTTAAGAGCCATGAGTGCATCTGTGTCTCCCCGAGGCTGACTGTCCCGAAGTCCACTGAAGCCTTGCTTTAGTAAGCTAGGGTCACATCTTGCTTTGCATTGCAGGCAACTGAGATGCTTGTCTTTGGCAAGAAGCTCACAGCAAGAGAGGCTTGGGCTCAAGGCCTTGTCACTGAAGTTTTTCC